CTTCCATACCTCCAAGGCGTTCACGTAGTCCTTCGGCAACGGCGGTGAGAATAACTGGCCGTGTCGTTCTTGGAGGTGACCAAAAGACGCGGTGACGATAACGTGGTCCGCCAGCCAGGAGGAACCGTTCTTGCTGACGATAAGAACTTGCCCGTTTTCTAGTTTTCCTTCCTGGTTTTCGTCCCAAAAGATGCGGCAGACGGGACTCGAAAGACGTATGTGCTCATCGGGGATACTAGCCTAGTGTGAAAATGCGGGTCTTTTTTTTGTTCTTGTTTGAATGTTCTACTTTTATTTAAGTTTGTTTTTATATAATCTGCTATACGGTGATGATCTGGATTTAAAATGATGTCTTGTATCCTTATTTTGAACAACTGAACTTATATATTACAAACTTAAAATTATGTAAAAACAATATTGAGGCCCCAGAGACATGGTTAAAGTAAAGGGGGTCCGCAGGTAGAATTGTAACGCGCACACACACACAGATATATATAAATATGTGTTTAAATACGTTTTTTATATACATATACATGTATGCTTATATATATATACATATATATATGTATATGTATATATATAGATAGACAGATAGATATATGTATATGTATATATATGTATATATATGTATGTATGTATATATATAGGTAGTTACGGTTTGTACCTTACAAAATCCATTTACATATAATTTGTAAGTTACAAATTATACGTGGGAATACTAAAAGACGAAATGTCTTACCTCCTGACGACCAACGTATTACCTCCTGACGAACAACTCATTATCTCCTGAAGAACAACTGACCTGACGAACACGTATTACCTCCTGACGAACAGCATCTTACCTCCTGAAGAACATGGGCTCTGGAACTTGCATCTTCGTGGCGTTCCTCAGGAGCTCCAGATAATGGTCCTTGACTTGTTCCTCCGAAAGGCTTTCCATGATTTCTGAAGCCTTTCCGGTCAAAAAGCTTTCAACGACGGCCTGAGGACTGCGGATGACACTGAACACCATAACGATGTCGTACAACCAAGACTGAAATGGAAGGAAGAATTGGGGAGTGGGAGAGTGATGGAAATATATTTGGTGTTTTTCTTTTCTTACTTTTCTTTCTCTTCTTTGCATCTCTCTTTGTCTCTGTCTCTGTCTTCCCCCCCCCCCTCTCTCTCTCTATACCGAGTGGAAGCAGTTGCCGAACAGCTGCCGGTGACCCGGTTCCAGCTGGTGTCCCCCCCCCCCCCCCCCGCCGCTTTCCGGTGGCCGCCGGTACTTATATTCCAAGGATGACCCCTGTGAGTCAGAGTGTGTTCTGCCGCTGCCGGGTCAAGTCTGATCCCTGGGTGCGACCATTCTGGCCGCTGGGCTGGGCCGTGCTCGTGGCCTTAGGCGACCCGAGCATACACCCAAGATTGTGTGTATTACTATCCGTGTGCTTAAGTCTTACAGAATAAAGAGTGTAAAGCCACCAAGCTTTTACTAGCCTGTTACCAATGTATAAGAGGTCAAATAACACCCTTTACACTCTCTCTCTCTCTCGCTCTACTTTTCTTACTCTGTGTATGTGAGTCAATGAGAGAAAGAGAGTGTGTGAGAGAGAGAAAGAGAGAGAGGCGCTGAAGGAGGAGGTATCGAGGTCGACCTCATTCTCACCTTTTCCTCCGGCAGGTCGAACTTGGTCCAAACGATGTTGAGGTTGAGCGGCTCCGAGCCCCACCAAGGCTCCTCCCACCCCATCTGCAACTTGTTGGCCACGCCCAGCTCCATGCCCTGTCACGAAAGAAAAAAGGAAAATAAGAAAGGTGTAATCTCTGGACACGAAAAGGGGGGGGGGGTGATATGATAAATAAGATAATAAGTGAAATAACCACAGTATATATATATATATAAGCATCCGCCTCTCAGCCTCGCTCATTGGCCAATCGCCCTAAATCTGACCAATGAGACGCGCTCTTCCATACCTCCAAGGCGTTCACGTAGTCCTTCGGCAACGGCGGTGAGAATAACTGCCCGTGTCGTTCTTGGAGGTGACCAAAAGACGCGGTGACGATAACGTGGTCCGCCAGCCAGGAGGAACCGTTCTTGCTGACGATAAGAACTTGCCCGTTTTCTAGTTTTCCTTCCTGGTTTTCGTCCCAAAAGATGCGGCAGACGGGACTCGAAAGACGTATGTGCTCATCGGGGATACTAGCCTAGTGTGAAAATGCGGGTCTTTTTTTTGTTCTTGTTTGAATGTTCTACTTTTATTTAAGTTTGTTTTTATATAATCTGCTATACGGTGATGATCTGGATTTAAAATGATGTCTTGTATCCTTATTTTGAACAACTGAACTTATATATTACAAACTTAAAATTATGTGAAAACAATATTGAGGCCCCAGAGACATGGTTAAAGTAAAGGGGGTCCGCAGGTAGAATTGTAACGCGCACACGCACACACACACAGATATATCCAAATATGTGTTTAAATACGTTTTTATATACATATACATGTATGCTTATACATATATACACATTCACACACACACACACATACATATATTATACACATCTATATATGTGTGTAGGAGCTCTCTCTCTCTCTCTCTCTCTCTCTCCCTCCCTCCCCCGCCCCTTGATCCTTGCCTTGAGGTGGGCGAGTAGAGTGTCGTAACCGGCCGCCCACTGGTTGTCGTCGCCGTATTCCGCGAAGGTGCCCGTGGTCGTCACTTCGGGAGTCGTCCAGTCGTTGCACCCTAAGTTATTGTTGACGATCTGGAGAAAGAGAAAGAGACAGAAAGAAAGAAGAAATGATCTTTACTTTGAATAAAAAATATACACGAATATCTAATCTAATCTAATCTAAAAAAGAACAGTAGTAATTGAGAGGACGTACATTTTTAAACAATTTTACTTACCTTGTTTAAGTAATGTAGCCAACCTTTCCACTCCTCAGTCGATTCCTCTCCGTAAAAACTCTTGTACCTAGAGAAACGGTAAACAAATGGAAAATGTGAGTGCATGTTTGTGTGTGAGAGAGAGAGAGAATGAGACACACAGCGAGAATGAGACACAGAGAGAATGAGACACAGAGAATGAGACACAGAGAGAAAGAGAGAGAGAGAGAGAGAGAGAGAAAGAAAGAGAGAAAGAAAATGAAAAAGAGAAAGAGAGAAAGAGAGAAAGAAAGAAAGATGACTCAAATACCTAAGCTACCAAATCAACCAGGATCCACCCACTCACCTATCTGCAAACAACGCACCGAGACCAAGACCCCGATAAGCAGCCAAGGAGGACGCATTGTCACCAACTTCAGACAACAGCTCATGAACTACAAGGTATTTGTCTTCAGCCATTTGTTTGCCCTCTTGTGAGACCGTCCAGAAATCTGATGCGAATACACGAAGGAAATGTAGGAAAAGGGGTGAATATTATTATCAAAGTGAATTTCATTATCGGAATGATAGTTATTATTATTGCAATCGTAAAGGTAATTATTATTATTGTTATAGTAATGATAATTATTATCATTATTATGGTACTGACGATTATTATCATTATTATCGTAAAGTTAATTATTGTAATTTTGACTATTACTCTACTTTGTATTATAACTATCATTAGGCTATAAAAATAATTGAAATGATATTCTGATCTAAACCGAGAGAGAAAAAAAAAAGGTAACTCATTTAGGAATCTGGAATACACCAAATCACAATATCAATTTTGAGGAAAATTAAGTAGTGTATATGAATAACAATAATGTACATCTGGTTAAAGAAATACAAAAAAAAAGAGAGTAAAATTGGCCATTACGTATCGTCTGATTGGATTTTGAAAAGAAATATATATATACACATATACCTACTGTAATATCTATCATATCATTATCGCTAGTATTATTATTGTTATCATTCCTAACACGTTATTATTACTATTATTATCATTACTGTTAACATAATCATGCTACTATTATTTATATTATCATTATTATTATTATTAACATCATCATTAGTATTATTATTACTAAAGAAAGAGGTAGGCATACTTACCCCACCCCCCAGATGTAGGCCTACTTACCCCATCCCCTAAAAGAGGTAGGGTTCATTACCCCACCCCGAGATGTAGGCCTACTTACCCGATCCCTAAAAGAGGTAGGCCTACTACCTCATTTCCTAGGGAAGAGTTGGCCAACTTTCCCCACTTCCCAGGAGAGAGGTAGGCCTACTTACCCCACCCCCTAAAAGAGGTAGGCCTATTTACCCCATCCTCCAAGAGAGATAGGCCTACTTACCCCATTTCCCAGGAGGTAGACCTACTAAACCCATTCCCCAAAAGAGGAAGGTCTACTTACCCATTTCTCAGGAAAGAGGAAGGCCTTCTTAACCCTTATCCCCTAAAAGGCCTTCTTACCCATTTCCCAGGAAAGAGGTAATTACCCCATCCCCAAAAGAGGTAGGCCTACTTACCTCATTCAACCCAAAGAGGTAGGCCTACTTACCCCATTCAACCAAATTAGGTAGGCCTACTTACCTCATTCAACCCAAAGAGGTAGGCCTACTTACCTCATTCAACCAAAATAGGTAGGCCTACTTACCTCATTCAACCCAAAGAGGTAGGCCTACTTACCCCATTCAACCAAAATAGGTAGGCCTACTTACCCCATTCAACCCAAAGAGGTAGGCCTACTTACCCCATTCAACCAAAAGAGGTAGGCCTACTTACCCCATTCAACCCAAAGAGGTAGGCCTACTTACCCCATTCAACCAAAAGAGGTAGGCCTACTTACCTCATTCAACCAAAAGAGGTAGGCCTACTTACCTCATTCAACCCAAAGAGGTAGGCCTACTTACCTCATTCAACCAAAAGAGGTAGGCCTACTTACCTCATTCAACCAAAAGAGGTAGGCCTACTTACCCCATTCAACCAAAAGAGGAAGGTCTATTTACCCCATCCTCCAAAAGAAATAGGCCTAATTACTCCATTTCCCAAGAAAGAGGTAGGCCTACTTACCTCATCCTCTAAAAGAGATAGGCCTACTTACCCCATTCAACCAAAAGATGTAGGCCTATTAACCCCAATTCAACCAAAAGAAATAGGCCTATTTACCCCGATTCAACCAAAAGAGATAGGCCTACTTACCCCATACCTCGGGAGGGGGCGGGGCGACTGCATTCAACTCCTGCGCCAGCCTATATAAAGGGTTCCTCTCGTCACCGTGAATCCATTCCGCGCCCGCCTCTACCACGATGTCTCCTAATAAGAAAAGGTATGAATGAGAATGAATATCTTCACAATACAAGAGATCCATCTCATTCATAGCTTTTTTACATTTGTCAACATGAATACGGTTTATTGTTTCCTAATAAGATGGTTGGGTTATTTGGGGCCTGTTTGATATTTTGTGGTTGTTAGTGTTTGTGTGTGGGTGGAATAAGGGGTGTGTGTGTGTGTGTGGGGTGGGGGTTGTTTGGTTGTGTGAGTGTGGGTGGGTTGTGTATGTGTGTGTGGGTGGGGGGGCGGGGTTGAATGTGTGTGTGGGGAGCGGGGGTTGAACATGTGTGTGGGTTGGGGGGGGGGGGGTTGAGTTTATGTGAGGTGGGGAGGAGGGGTTGTGTAGGTGTGTGTATGTATGCGTGTACGTTTATTTACAAACCCACCTAGATGCCCAGACGCACCATATCAATAATTTCAGCATTTTATTTATGATTTTTATCCCACCATATATTCTTTTCTTTCTCCATCACCCACCTTCCCTGACGGTGAAGACACGCCCACCCAGCCTCTCCTTGGCCTCCAGAATGAGCAAATCTGTTACGTTGTTTTCCAGCAGTGTTTTGGCCGCCGTCAGTCCGGACACGCCCCCTCCTATGATGGCCACGCCCACCTTCTCGGCCTGGCTCACCCTAGATTGAGTTATGGAAGGAGTGATTATTTTTATTACTGTTATTGTTATTCTCATAATTGTTATTGCTATTATCCTTATTTTTTGCCGTTACTATCACCATTATTATCATTAATATTATTAACATCTTCATTGTCATTATAATTGTTATGGTTATTATTATAATCTTAATTATGATTGTTACTATAATTATTATTAGGGTTATTATAGTTATTATTATCATCATTATTATTATTACTATTAGTATCATTATCATTATCATTATTATTATTATTAATAGTATTATTATATTATTAACATTTCATTATCATTATTGTTATTATTATTGTTATGGTTATTACTATTATTGTTATTATTAGCATTGTGGTTATAATAATAATAATAATTATTATTATTATTATCATTGTTATGGTTATTACTATGATTATTATTATCATTAGCATTGCGGTTATAATAATATATTTTTAATATAATATTATTATTATTATCATTATTATTAAGTTAGTTTTCCATCGACGAGAGAGCGCGTTGCGACCGCAAAAAGCCTAAAAAATTGCTCTCTCGCTCACACTCGCTTGAAGGTCGCACTCTTCTACGCTCTCGTGCGCGACCGGATGTACACTCGTTACGCGGGAGCAATGCAGTCGCTACGGTCGCTGAGCAGTAGCGTGTTACCTCTCGCTCGCTCTCGCATCGGTTTTATCCTCTTCGAGTTTCTTGGGTCGCATCTCACTCGCTGAATGGGTTCGATATAAACGCAAACCTCGCGAGCCATTGAGCAACTCATGATAGTCGTACGAGTGAACGAATTAATATGATAATAATAATAATAAAATACAGCGCTCTCTTGTCGATGGAAACCTACCTTTATTAGCTTTATCATTGTTTATCATTGTTATCGTTATTATCATTACCGTAGTATGCAAAGAGGTAAGGAGATCAATCTCTCCCTCAGTTTACACTCATATATAGCAATATTTTTCCATTTTCATTTTTAGATATGTAAATTGATTCCCCTCCCTTCTTTACATAATTCTAAATCAGTCTAATGGTCCAATGAACCAGATTTTTCATCACAGCATCCACATCTATTTTTGAACATGACTATAATAAAGTATAATACTTGGTTTTGCTGGGATATATTTTAGTCAGATTTAAGGATACTGGAACGCAGAGACTATATCCAAGGT